GCTGGGTCCCATTTTAAACTCCTCTCCTCAAGCTGAGTCAGTTCCTCTGCTCATGAGGATTAGTGGAGCTCAGATCCTGTAATGACTCACTGGTCTCTTCTGGCACTTCCTCAGCAGAGGGGAGACCTGGGGCCACCAAATGCACACTCTTGTGCCAGTTTCAAGCCTCGGCCCTCCCTCTCTGCCTTCTCTGCTACTGAAGTGCAGCGGAAGACTGTGGCAGCTCCGACAGGGGGCAGGTCCATGCTGGGAGCCTCCTGGCTTGTGGCCCTTCTTGTGTAGGGGGTGGTTCTGGTAAGTCTGCCAAGGCAGGACTAATGGTCAGGCGGTCCTCCTCCAATGAGGAATCATCTTCCCATGTGAAACTAGGGTAGACCATGACAAGGGGCCGACTATAAATTACAAATCAGTTTTCAAGTGTTACACAGTTCTTCCTCTCGCTCAATGATACACAAAAGTTTTTAAATCTATTGGCAGGGAATATGTTACTAGCAGAAGGCCTGGTAGATATTCCCTTGGCAGCATGCTACAGTATTCAAACAGCATCTGAAGAAGCTCTTTGAAGACAAATAGGTTATCTTGTCCTCCATCTAAAAGAATTCAGCTAGCATTAAAACAACAATCCCAGTGTCACATCCAGGAATTTAATAATTCCCACTGATGTGTCTCCTGGCACCTTAAGAATCAAGAAGGTCTTGGGGATAAAATCCAAAGGATCTTGAATGGAGCAGGAAAAAATCAGGGAGCTTTGGACTGCTCCCTGCCAACTGGCTGACTAGTGAAGTGCTGAGCTCATCCCAGCCATAATAAATAATTAATTATTGTATGGCAGTGTGTGCAGTATAGCCAGGAGAGCCTAAGATTGTCTGGCAGCCAGAAGTTCTAGCTGTTTTAGCATTATGCACCACTAGGTGGCGAGCTAGACTTGTTTTTAAGGCAAGAGACTTTTCAGAGGTGGTTTTGCCATTGCCTGACTCTGCATCACACCCCTGGTATTCCTTGGAGGTCTCTCATCCAAACACTAGCCAGGGCTGACCCTGCTTAGCTCCCGAGATCTGACGAGATCAGGCTAGCCTGGGCTACCCAGGTCAGGGCATCCTAGCCATGGCAACATCTCTCACCAAAGACTCCTGAGCAAGCTTCAGGTTCATGGGATAAGACCACAAGTCCTCTAATGAATTGCAAACTGGATTTAAAAAACCAGGAAGGAATAAAGGGTCAGCTCTCGAATGGAGGGATGTGAGCAGCAGGTTCCTTCCAGGATTTGTATTGGCATTGGTGCTGGATCCAGTATAACCCCAAGGCTCTTTACTGAATCAGCAAAGGTCAGTTGAACCCCATTAAAAGTGGGAAGCACAGTGTCCTTCCAGACATCTGCCTTCCCAGCCAGTATCACTTACGTTTTGTCTGGGTTCAGTTTCAATTTATTTACTTTCAGCCATTTGACCAAGCTGCGACTCAAGACATCTACTGCATCACCAGGGGATTTGAATAGAGAGATGGAAAGATCAGTCCCATTTGGAACTGATGACAGCTACGAATGATTTCTCCTAAAGGCTTTACATAGAGATTAAATAAAATGGGGGAGAAGGTTGTACCCTGTGGACCCTGCAAGACAACTCCCAAACTGAAGCTAGCTGATCTCCAGCGGCAGCCTTTGAGTCTGATCCATGAGGAATGATTTAAACCAGTCCAAGGCAGCTGATGCCGAAACAATGCTTTAAAAAGTCTGCACAGCCAGTCAGTTCTCTAATGGACAATCAGAAGGCTTGCTGGTCAAAAGCCCCACCTGGTTCCACCCACTTTTTAAGAATATTTGATGGGCACCAGAATAGGTGCTACGCTGCCCATGGGCACCAAGTTGGGGGACTCCTGATCTACTGTATCAAAGGCCGCAAATCGATCTAGGAGGAGCAACAAAGAAGCACAGCCTTTGTCCAGTGTTCCCTCTAAGCTGAGGTAGTGTGAGCTAGCTCACAATATTTTAGCCTCCAGCTCATACATTTTTGTCTTAGTTCAGGAAGGATGGCACCAGAGCAGACTAACTTATGCAGTAGCCAAATTGCTCACTCACAACTTTAATGCCAGTAGCTCACAAAGTAGAATTTTTGCTCACAAGACTCCACAGCTTAGAGGGAACCTTGCGGCTTTGTCGATATTCAGGCAGAGGTTATCAACCAAAGCTATTTGAGATATCTGTGTCCTGTAGCTCCTCCTGAAACCAGACTGAAAAGGGAAACGGAATGAGAGGGAAGGCAGGGGCATACTGTGCAAATGCTCAGAAGGCAAGGGATAGGGGCTCTAGCAATGGTAGCTGAAAGGGTAATGTGTTCTTTTGGCAATATAGTTGCTGCCACTGCAAGCTCTGAGAGCCCCCACCCACCTGTTAGAGAAGATGGGTATGAGAGGGCGTCCAAGCATGTCCTTTATCTTTCCTGAGCAAAAAGCACCCTGCCACAACGAGCAATAGCATCACCTTTCTCGCAAGTAGGGTTGCAAAGGCTGGGTTGGAATACCTGGAGACTTTGGGGGTGGAGTCAGGAGAGGGTGGGGTTTGGGGAGGGGCCTCAGCATGGTACAATGGCATAGAGCCCACCCTTCAAAGCAGCCATTTTCTCCAGGGGAGCAGATCTCTTTCAACTGGAGATCAGTTGTAAAAGCGGGAGATCTCTAGGCTCCACTGGGAGGCTGGCAACCCTACAGTCACAAGGCAATTCTCATATGCACAGAGGTGTACTCATAACATGCTTTGCTGCAGTAGGCTCAGTTGCCCAGTTGAGGGCAGCCTTCCTGGGTTTTATAAGGTGCATCAAAAGCAGGAGTTAGGCATACGTTTTTCGTATTATTCATGAAGTGCATTGCTTTTTAATTTTTTTAACGTAACCCTGAATTCCTGATTAAATCTTCGCACAAGGACGCGGGGGGGGGGGGGGGGGGGGATACACGGCCGTAACGACCGTTCTATGTTTCCTAAGATGGGAGGTTCACGCGAGCCAGCCACCCTTCTCATCAAAGCCGGGAGCCGCATCCTCACCCTACAGACACAGTTGCGCAAGCCCGCGAGTTCTGCCAGGCAACGCGCCGCCCGCCTCTCGCCTCCGCTCGCATCGCTGGCGGGGGAGGCGACGGCTTTTAAGAAGGGCGCCCCAACAGCCCTGGCTGGCACTGCAGGGACCGCGCACTCCTCTCCAGCGATCGCTCCGCCCTGGGCCTTACTTCTCTGCCAGCCAAGTAGCCGCTGTTGCAATGTCGGGCGCCGCTGCGAGGCCTTTGTCGGGGCAGGTATGCCTGGTGACGGGCGCTTCGCGGGGCATCGGGAAGGGCATCGCGTTGCAGCTGTCGGAGGCGGGCGCCACCGTCTACATCACCGGCCGGCAGCCAGAGGCGCTGGAGAAAACGGCGGCCGAGGTGCAAGGCCGGGGCGGGCGGTGCGTGCCGGTGGTGTGCGACTCTACCCGCGAAGAAGACGTGGCGGCGCTGTTTGAGCGCCTCAAACAGGAACAGGCCGGCCGCCTAGACGTCCTGGTCAACAATGCCTTCTCCGGAGTGACCGCCATCGCCAAGCAGTCGGGCTCGTCCTTCTGGGACAGCCCTGCCAGTTTATGGGACGACATCAACAACGCGGGCCTTAGAGGCCATTACATCTTTTCAGTGTATGCAGCCCGCCTCATGGTGCCTGCCGGGCGCGGGCTCATCGTTACCATCTCGTCGCCTGGTGGGCTGCGGTACATGTTTGATGTGCCCTATGGGGTGGGCAAGGCCGCCTGCGACCGCCTGGCTGCTGACTGCGCATTCGAGTTACGTCCCTTCGGTGTGGCCTGCGTGGCACTATGGCCTGGCCTAGTCCGTACCGAAAGCGTACTGAAGCAAGCGGAAATGGACTCTGGGGCTTTTTCCCAGGAGCTGAGGGGGAGACTGCCCATTATGGCAGAGAGCATTGAAGTGAGCGGGAAGTGCGTGGTTGGCCTCGCCTCAGACCCCAACATCATGCGCCACAGTGGCAAGGTTCAGTTGAGCCCAGAACTTGCCCAACGCTACCACTTCAAGGATGTGGATGGAAAGGACGTCTTCAACTACATTTCAGTTCGCAATATCCTTACAGAACTGATGCCGAAACTGTCTAGCTTGTTTCGCCTCATTCCAGGGTTCATCACAATCCCTAAATGGGCTATTTCCTTGTATTCTAGTAAGTTCTCTGTGTATCCACCAATTTTGTCACTTCCCTCTAAATCAACAAAAAAAGACTGATGGTATTTATTGTACAGAGCAGTAAAAGTATCCTGTTATCTGCTTTTTAATGCATAAAATTTCTTCAGCCTTTAAGCTTTCCTGTCTTGCGAACTACTTACCTTTTAGTTTTACTCGTTTGTAGTGGAGGACATTTCCTGATTTGAAGATCACTTTGAGGCAGAATTTGGAAACTGCTTTCTCTGTGAAAATGTGCTTATTCAAAAGCCCTGCCATGTCAAATGAACTTAATTCTGAGTAAACATGTAAGGGTTTAATAATTCCTGAAGGCTCGATAGCACCATTTGTCTCCATGCTATCTTCTTTCTTTTGCCATAAAATACTATAGTAGCCATTAACAGTTTTGTCATGATTCTGTATTGTTACTAACTGTAGCCTTGAAGCAATGGAGTGCTCCATAATTAATGTATTTTAGCTGATATTCATTCTATCATTAAATATATTTGAATTAGCAGACTTTGATACCTGAAAAGATTTTACGTTTCTTGGTTATGGAACACATTTTTCCAAAGAAGTGTGGATATGGGGCTGTTGGTATGTCTGACAGGATCAAGCACTTTTAAGTGCAAGAAGATTTGTCACAGAACAGCAAAGGATGTATATGAAAGTGCGCTCCTATAAGCAGACTGTAATCCACACTATTATATAGTTATAAGAAGTGTGACTAAAATGAAAGAAAACTGCAAGAGAGTGTAAATGGCTGAAAATGGGAATTAGACCAGATTCATGGAGAATTAGCTCATCAGTATCCATGGTGACTAAAGGAAACTTTTACAGCCACAGACTGTAAATCTCATACCAGTACTAGGAGGCAACATTGGGGGCAGCCTTGAACTCTTGGCCCTCTAGAGTAACTGGCTGACCATTAAAACTGATGTAGATTTTTTAAACACTCCTGCTTTTTCAGTGTTGGGTGTCCTTTGATCAAACTGATGAAAGATCTAGGCATCCTGAGAGAAAAAGCCCTCAACAAGACTGGTCATAAGTCACCATCACTTCCACTCCTTGCACCATCAACACGGTCAACACCTCGCTACCCCCACTCAGGGAGGGGTATCTGGTCCTGCGTTGATAGATCCAGTTGGTTAGCCATGTTGGTCTGAAGCAGTAGAACAAGTTTAGAATCCAGTGACACCTTTAAGACCAACAAAGGTTTATTCAAGGTATGAGATTGCCTGTGCAAGACACACTTTTTCAAATACACTGGAATGGTAGATAAAGTTCTAAACTGCTGTACCCTGTCTATAGAACCTTATCTACCATTCCAGTGTATTTGAAAAAGTGCACCTTGCACATGAAAGCTCATACTTTGAATAAACCTTTGTTGGTCTTAAAAGGTGCCACTGGACTTTGTTTCCTGTGATAAGAGAGGTTTTTTTCTGCCTCAGGAAATACGCTTCAGAGAAGCAAAAGGAGGATAAGCAAGGAATGAGGTGAGGAATCCTGCTAGAGCAAAGTCGAAGCATCTGAGCAAAGTCATCTAATATCTAAGCTGCTTTCGAAAGCCACATAGCCTGCATTCACGAGCAGCTATAACCCGGCTGTTCAGATTTTCATCTTCCCTCTGTTTAACCAATCAACAAGCTTTTATTGACATATTTAAAATGAATATGGGTACAGCCAGGGTTTCTGCTGGAGAAAACTGTGTGAAGTTGCTTTCCTCCGCACCTCTAGAGTCCTGGCTGATAACTAAAATTAACCAGCTGTTTTGTGTGGGGGAACCAGGAAAGGGATAATGTGGAGGCAAAAAGTCTGACTCGGGTCAACTTTCAGGTTGCTAAAATTCACCCACAAAGTTGAGCTGTGTTGGGCAATGCTAGCAAGTCAAGATATGACACCATTGGATACATAAAGTTCTTTAAAAGAAAGCTAAAATTCTACGTGTTTCAAGAACTACAACCCAACAGTGATTTCATGGTATCTGAGCAGATAGCATACACCAGGAGTCAGGAAAGCGATAATTTAAAGATAATTTAAATTAAACATGCCTTAGCATGTTCCAGTTTAGCATGCTCAGACTGCCTAAGCTACTCAGAAAATAGAGTTGCAGAGGTAACTGGGAACACCCTGAAGGCAACCCACAAAAATCTCATAATTCTGTTGTGGTGTTACATCAACTTAGGCTGCTGTGTGCCTGTTAAAGCTCAATCACATCTCCACCCCAACCAGAAGCTAAGTTCTAGCCAGTCAGGTATCACACCCACAATAGTAATCCTGTCCTACGGACTTTCATGGGAGCTCCTAAACAACTTCATTGAGCTTTTTAACATATTGGAGGATACTCGACAATCCAAAACAGCAAGTAGAAAAGGTTGCTTATGCACATGACCTTCAATAGGATCCTTTGCCTTATCTCCCCTTCACTCAGAATAGTTGCAGCTTACAGAACTGCTTTTTCAGTCGGCTGTCTCCACACTCCAGTGAATTATTCAAATTCTCCCCCTACCTTCCTAACCCTTGAATGTTTAGGGATTCTTCAAATACTCTCAGTAAAGGTGCCAGTAAGATCCTGCATTTGGATTCAACCACAAGGGGAAGGACAATTTTTGCCAATTCCCCTCACTCATTGTGAATCCCCAGTTTGCCCCTATGCTGTTCCCAGCAGTCATCCTCTAAAAAGCATTTTTGGGAGTTCAGTGAGGTACAACAGAAGGCGGCTTCCATTCCATTGACAATGACAAGTGCCTTCTGTTAGCAGAAAAATCACCGCCTGATCTAACCCATTTTGTTCTGAAGGGGCTTGGAAAATAGAATAATAAATGTACTAACTACTCCACTGAATTTTCAGCAGCAATCTCAAACTTTTTTTAGAACACAGATGTCAGGTTTTCCAGCATGTTTTATAACCCAGTTAACATTTGGCTAAACTGACTCCCAAGACAAGCTTACCACTAACACTGATTAGCACATGATAGACTGCCTCTAGTATCCTTTAAATATGGCAGCAATTAGTGCATTTTAGGAAAGTAGCCTACCTAAATAAGTGTTGCATTAGGAATATGCAAGGGTCATCAGTGACAATCCATTCCCTACATTAGTGCTATTTTGAAAACTGTTCCCTTCCCATATTCCTTTTACTTCCGCTTTAGAGGCTGATCATTTCCTGCTGCACTCCTCCACCAGAAAGGCTGCAGCCTTGTATGAAACATTCACCAAGGTGTCTTTTTCTCCTCAATAATTCACTAATCCATGACAGTGGCAAAAAGGTTGCAGCTAGGCTTGCCAAGTCCCCCCGGGGGGCGGGTAAATCCCTGCCAGAGAGGCCCATTACCCAATCCCAGCAGATCAGGCCCCAAGGGGGAACTCCACCCCCTTCCGGCACACGTCCCCAGCGTGATGATGTCACCCAGAGGTGACAGCATCATGCTGGCCATGTTGGGGGCAGGACGCTCTATGATTTGAGGGAAAACTTTATGGTTTTCCCTTGAATCCTAGTGGCCCCGCCCCCAACATGCCGACTCGATGACGTCACTTCCGGGTGGCGTCATCGCGGCGGCGTGCATGCAAACTGCGCACGCACAGACTCCTATGATGGCACGGGACTTCCCTGGGGTAAGTGAATTTGGACTTGGCAACCTTAGTTGCAGCTGTTACCTCAGAATTGTTTTTTTTAAAAAAATCTGATTAACCCACTGCCCACCTACTTTTTGACATCCTGTAATGTAACCCCTCCTTTCCCCATTAAGTAATACGATATCCATTTTAAAGTTTATGTGAACCCTTAGTTGGTGGTAGAATGTATATTTGCCAATAAGGGAATTACATACTTGGTATCTACAATCTTTTCTGCTCTTAACACAGATTCCTCCTCCCCAGTCCAATTGCCATGGAAAAGAGAGTTTGGTATTAGACATGATTGGGCTTGTGGAAAGGCTGAACAGGTGTCTGGGGAAAACTGAGGTAGGTGTGGGCGAATAAACTGAAGTTCAGTCCAGGCAAGGCTGAGAGGCAGTGCTAGAGAAAGACAAAGCTGCCCGCAGACTGAGAAGAGAGCCTGTTTTGGATAGGGCTGCCTTCCCCCTGAAGCAGCATGTTTATTCCCTGGGATGACTGATGGATCTTGGTTAACATTTGGGCTCAGTTTTCCTCCCTAGGTTGTAGCACTTTTTATCTGCTGATAGGCCACGCTCTGATCACATCCAGGTTAAGATTACTGTTATATGGTCCACAGTAGACTGCCTTTGACAATTGTCCAGAATCTTCACCTGGCTCAAAATTCAGCAGCCTGGCTACTGTCAAGGGAGGGTTACAAGGATGGCATCACCCCTGTGCTGAGATTCTTACCTCCAAAGCCCTAAAGGCCTTGGGGCCCAAGCACCTGAAATACACCAGTCAAGACCTCTTCACAAGTCCTGCTTTCTGTGCCCCTCACACGATGAGGCTGGTGGCAAACAGAACATGGCTTCCACAGTGATAGCACCTAGTTTTTGGAAAAGCCTCCCCCTTGAGGTGCCAGCTCAAAATAATTTATACAGGCTTTCAATTAAGGGATTCCATCTTTTAAAAGTTGTTTGTATGGCCTGTTTCTAGCCCAAAAACCATTTTATGAGCATATTTTAAAACTAAGTGTTGTTTTATGCTACTGGTTTATTTTTAATGGCTCATTTTTATGCTATATTTTATTTCCTAAGTTGCCTTGAGCGGGTTTTTGGAGATGCAACCTAATAATCTTCTACATAAATAGTGCTATGACAGCACTGATTTCCCCCCCTTTTTAAGAAGCACTATAAATTAGTAATAGTGCAAAAACTACTAGTTGGGCATGGTTCTTTCACTGTTAGACTTTGAACCTGTGATCTCCTAATTTATATTAGTTACAAGTGGCTATGAATTGAGGACCCGATGTTGTACTTCTTTAGAATCTGATACATAGAGATCACATGCACAGCTTATTTTTTCAGAATTTATTTTACAGCATTTAAGATAGATACTAAGTATATGCCACCTATTTCTGGTGTGAATGCACCAGAAATCTTTCCTTTTAAAAAAAGTTGCAGTAATCCATCCTTCAAGGAATCCTCTGAGCTACAAAGAGCTGAGAAGCCTGACGACGGGCCTTATAAGTAAATGAGAAGGGAAAAAAAATCATTATTGTAGTAGGCAAGTCATAATGTAGCATTACTGTTTTAGTTTATACCATAACCAACAAGTAAAATACATTTAGTAAAATGCTTTTGCAAGCTTATTGCTTTGGCTATTTCTCCTCCCTCAAAATGGCAGATGTGTATTTTCATTTTTAAGGACATCCCAAAAGCTTTTCAATGTAAACAGCTGAAGAAATTGAGTTTTTAAATAGTTCTATGAGTAAAAAATCAGTTGCCTCATGCAAAAACAAATTTTTGTAGGACGTTAACTACTTGGGTGTCATGGCAAGGGGGGAAAAGAATAGCCATTAACTTGCCACAAAAAAGCCCCAATTCTGTTAACTTCCATGCAAAACAGGTACTGCATGAACAATTCTAATATAGTTACGCAGGATATACAATCACGTGAAGCTTCTGTAATTGCGCCAGTCAGGAATGCAGTAGGGCCGCCTTCAGGCCTACTTCCTTCTTCTTTCCCAACAGAGACCTGATCTGCTTTTCAAATGTACCTGGAGAACTATATATGCACAGCAGCTATGGCTACTCCATGCATACTTTCTTGCTAGGAAGGAAACAGCCGAAGAATGTAATTTCTATTTACATTCCACTGGGAGTCAGTCTCATTTAATTCAAAAGGATATACTTATGAGTAAACATAATAGGATGCATCTCTGACTGCAAAACTGACAACACCCTAGGAAAAAAGGGCAATGTTTGTAGCAATTTAAGTAAAGAATACTTAGAGGGAAAAACAAAAGGTACGGTATTCTTACCTCTATTTCCAAAAGGCATGCAAAGCATAGATTTTTTTTAAAAAGGATGGTACAGCCCCCTTATGGAAAATAATTTTTCTATTTCTATATTTCCATGAATCTACACCTATTTTATATTTAATCTCATGGATTCTTATGAATACTTACGAGTTTTTCCTCTGCTGACAGCACACCATCTATGGCCACCACTTGGTACTGTTTATGTCTTAAGCCACCCGCAAATCTCCGAACCAGCCTCAAAGTGTTACCATCAACATCTTTTGAGAGTTTTTGCATTTCTTGTGAGGGGCAGCCTGGATCAAATATTAGCAGAGCAAAGGTTTTGTTCTTCCTTTCTTCTATTCCAAAAACAGTGCGACTATGGCCTAATTTTAGAAACAAAACAAAAAAGTCAAAAGTTGTTTTGAAGAATGCATGTATTTTTCTGCTGGACACATCTGAATTACAAATCATTTTGGGAAACTGCTATGCAAAATGGCATCTCACCAGCATCTATGGGGCTGGTTCCACACGGAGGATTTTGCCTGCTGCACAGGAACGAAATATGACATCTTGTGGAAATGGGGGGGGGGACGGCCGGGGGGCAACACAAGTTGGGTGGCTGAAACAGGGAAAATCCACTGCGTGGAACCAGCCCTATAGATGCTGGTGAGATGACAACCCACCAAAAAAAGATTTTGCAAAGAAATTCCCCCCCCTCTTGTCCATAAAGGAAGATATGCTTTGTGCTTGAATGGATTTTCAGTTTTAAATGGGGGTGGGGAGTGTCAGGACAACATAATAGTGCAATTATTATAGTATGACAATACAGAACCATGGTGATAGGGGGGAGATAATTACACCAGTGTCTTGTTCAACCCTGCACTGTCATGAAGCCCAAAATCAGGGGGGCAAATTCATCACAGTGAGATCAGAGGGAGGGAGTGTGAGAGGATCTGCCCCAGTGTCTTGTTCAGCACTGTAACTGGACAAATACAGGTTTTTCTTTTTAAAAAGCGATGCAGAATGCCATTATTCTCTAGCAGAACAACATATATCAATTTTTTAAAGGGTGGAGAATTACTATGGTGGCATGACAGTGGATGCCCATTTGGTGTAAAAGGGAAACCTAATAATGGTAAATGGTAATGATAAAAAAAAAATTGCCCTGAGCCGTCAGGAATCTCTGCTGCAAGCACAAATTGACCAACAACTGCACCAGCAACACGCCACCATGGAAAAACCTCTTTGTGTGGAATCAGCCTTTTACACCATGTTGTTGTTCAGTTGCACAGTCGAGTCCGACTCTTCGCGACCCCATGGACCATCTCCCGCCAGGTTCTCCTGTCTTCCGCCGTCCTCTGAAGTTGGCTCAATTTCATGTTCGTTGCATTGATGACACTGTCTAACCATCTCATCCTTTGCCGTCCCCGTCTTCTTTGACCTTCAATCTTTCCCAGCATCAGGGTCTTTTCCAGTGAGTGCTCTCTTCTCATTTGGTGGCCAAAGTATTTGAGCTTCAGTTTCATTATCTGGCCTTCCAGGGAACAGTCAGGGTTGATTTCTTTGAGGATTGACTGATTTGTTCTTCTTGCAGTCCAAGGGACTCTCAAGAGTCTTCTCCAGCACCATAGTTCAAAAGAATCTATTCTTCGGCGCTCGGCCTTCCTTATAGTCCAACTCTCGCAGGCATACATGACTACTGGGAATACCATTGCTTTGACCATGCGGACTTTTGTTGGCAGGGTGATGTCTCTACTTTTTATCATGCTGTTTAGGTTTGCCATCGCTTTCCTCCCAAGGAGCAGGCGTCTTTTAATTTCATGGCTGCAGTCACAGTCTGCGGTGATCTGGGATCCCAGGAACGTGAAGTCTGTCACTACTTCCACGACTTCCCCTTCTATTTGCCAAGGAGTGATGGGGCCGGATGCCATGATCTTAGTTTTTTTGATGTTGAGCTTCAAGCCCACTTTTGCGCTCTCCTCTTTTACTCTGAGCAAGAGGCTCTTTAGGTCCTCTTCACTTTCAGCCATTAGAGTGGTATCATCTGCATATCTGAGGTTGTTGATCTTTTCCCCAGCAATCTTAATTCCCGCTTGTGATTCATCCAGGCCAGCATTTCGCATGATGTACTCTGCATATATATTAAATAAGCAAGGTGACAGTATACATCCTTGTCGTACTCCTTTTCCTATGCTGAACCAATCAGTTGTTCCGTATCCGGTTCTAACTGTCGCTTCTTGGCCCTTATACAGGTTTCTCAAGAGACATGTGAGGTGGTCTGGTACTCCCATCTCTTTAAGGACCTGCCATAGTTTGTTGTGATCCACACAGTCAAAGGCTTTAGCATAGTCAATGAAGCAGAAGTAGATATTTTTCTGGTACTCTCTTGCTTTTTCCATAATCCAGCGAATGTTGGCAATATGATCTCTCGTTCCTCTACCTCTTCGAAACCCAGCTTGTACTTCTGGTAGTTCTCTATCCACGTACTGTTGAAGCCTAGCTTGTAGGATCTTGAGCATGACCTTGCTAGCGTGTGATATGAGTGCAATTGTGCGATAGTTTGAACATTCCTTGGCGTTGCCCTTCTTTGGGATTGGAATGTATACTGATCTTTTCCAATCCTGTGGCCACTGTTGCGTTTTCCAAATTTGCTGGCAAATGGAGTGCAGCACTTTAACAGCATCATCTTCTAAGACTTTGAATAGCTCAGCTGGAATACCATCACTTCCACTAGCTTTGTTGTTAGTAATGCTTTCTAAGGCCCATTTAATTTCACACTCCAGGATGTCTGGCTCGAGGTCAGTGATTATACCGTCGTGGTTGTCAAGGACATCGAGGTCTTTCTTGTATAGTTCTTCTGTGTATTCTTGCCATCTTTTCCTAATCCCTTCTGCTTCTGTTAGGTCCCTACCGTTTTTGTCCTTTATCATGGCCAGCTTTGCATGGAACGCTCCCTTGATTTCTCTAATTTTCTTGAAGAGATCTCTAGTCCTTCCCATTCTATTGTATTACACCATAGCTAAAGGTAAAGGTTTCACTTGCTCAAAAGCCAGTCAAATCTGACTCTAGGGATGTGGTGCTCATCTCCGTTTCCAGGCTGAAGAGCCAGCGCTGTCCAAAGATGTTTCCGTGGTCATGTGGCCAGCATGACTAGACACCGAGGCACACGCTGTTAGCTTCCCACCAAAGTGGTACCTATTTATCTACTTGCAATTTCTTGCTTTCGAACTGCTAGGTTGGCAGGAGCTGGGACCAGAGACGGGAGCTCACTCTGTCACGCGGCACTCGGGTCTCGAACTGCTGAACTTCAGTGTCTTAACCACTTGAACCTACCACACTATAATTCAGCGATAAAGAACTGGGTTCTCTCTTGTACATACAGCTCAGCTCTTCTTTTAAAGTTATGTAGTGCTGCATTAAGACAGCCATAGGACAAAAGATGTGCTGTTTGAGGAAAAACTGTGTTTTTATAGGAAAAGCAAAAAAAGTTCATTAACATCTAGGAAAGAAATAAGTGGTAACCAAAGAAACCTTGTATAACCTGGATTTCTTCCTGTTGTTAAAGTAAGATTCATAGAACACTCCAAAGAACTGGGTAAAGGAAATAAACAGTAATGATCACTATTTTTGAAAACATAGTTGTGCTGACCTTGGTGTTGAAGATAGATTGGAGGCTTGGAGGTACAAACCACTTTTGCACTGTTTCCCTTGTCTGAATTGTAGTAATTCAGCACCCACTCAAACAAACGAGGATGTGTTTCTGATGGGCCAGTTGGCTGGTGAAAATCAATGATTTGACACCTATAAGACAGTTTCAACAAAGCCTCCATAAACAGTTAACAAGATGTTCTCTGGCATATTTTACTAGTATATTAGTTCCTGGAAATTCTACTACATCTTACATTAAATCAGCCTTTCAGATCAATTGCTTATTATTCCCTATTCCCTGTCAAAACTTTTCAACCAAGCCCCAGCTAAGGACTTTTGGATGAACGGGCTACAAGAAGACAAAATTGCAAAACTTTAGTGTGAGGCTGCCCTCACACCAATCAGGTAGGCTACCACCAGCCTGTTAAAGTTTATCCCAACAGCTCTGGAGCAAACAGGCAAGTCTCCCAGGCTTTCAAGGAAATTAACAAGAAAGTCAGCCCTGCTGGGTGGGCCTGCAGAATGTGTTTCCAACCACTAAACAGTTACCTGGTACATGGTCACTGGATCAAGACACTAGAATTAGATTTGAGGTCAGTGAAGGCAAAAACCACAACAAGTAGAATATAATTATCCTATTAAGGTGCAAAAAAAAAGTCTAAATGACAACAGGAGTACGAGGGCAAATAATAAATCTAAAAATTAAGTTACTGACAAGGTTCCAAGTTACCAGATGTTAATCCATCTCAGGCTCAAGGTCTCAGCATCAAAGCAGCTCTCTTTCTCCAGAGTTAGCCTAGGCCAGCAACTTGTATGGCCCTCACGAGCAAGCAATTAAGATGGCTGCACGCTGTGCTTTCACTATCAAGCAAAAGGCTAGGAGCTTAAAGGCTCAAAAGCTAATGGTGAAAAGCAACTTATCTATTTTATGGGTGAGGGTTTCTCATTGGCCCCAGACCTGTTAAGCCTATCAGAACTCTTAGGGGTAATGTAACTGTTGCCGGGCACATGATCTATGGGTGACTTGACCAGATGGGAACAAACTAAACTTACTGCAGATTGCTCCGCCTTGTTCACAAAGATGAAATCCATAGATAGATCTCAATTGCTAGGAATGTTAATTGGTAGCTGGTGCAAGGCAGATCCTCCCTACATCCAGCTGCATCTACTCTAAGCAAGGTCAACTTGCTCTCTGTGTCTCTGTCTCTAGGAACACTCTAGGCCACTCTCACAGCCTGAACCAAAGATATTTGCAAAGAACCATTTTCTTTACACTTGCAAAAAACAGTAGCTCCCCCAAGAGCTAGATAAAGAGAATTGCACCAGCAGTTTCATTTTCTTTGACAATTACATTTGAGTGGTACTGAGCATATGCATTCGTAAGTAAGCACTTAATTACCGACAAAAGCTAAAGCAGTTCTCACTCAGAGAGAGCCTAGTGAGAAGTAGCAGAGTAACCCTAAAATACAAGGGGTGGAGGAGAGTGAGCAGAGGATTAATTACAAGGATTTATATAAGGAGAAGGGATCCTAGCAATAGATTTGTTGACTGCTACCATAGGCTTTTCAAAGAACTTACATCTTCCACTGAGCCCAAACAAGCATTTGGCCCATTGTTCTGCAGCTGGTGTATTTAATATTTTCATCCCTTTGGAAAGTATGACATATCTACACAGGAACAGTTTGCATTTGAAATTCTATGTAAAAGGTGCCTACAGACATCAGTGGCATTAACTACTGTTGTCAAAATAAATCATCTTTCCTTTGATTAACAGCACTTACTTTAGGCTGAGAGAAGTTAAAAGTGAATAAATTTCACACGCTCCTATCCATGCCTTCGTGCCCTGTAATCTGCTGTTGAAGTGAGAAGCTCCTTGGGGATCAAAACCTTCTCTCCAGGAATTTTCAATCAGAGTCTGAATTGTTGGAATATAAGGAACTGATCGAAGATCTAAAAATGGGGGGGGGATGTATTTTAGCTACAAAAGTGCTGAATTTAACAACAGGTATGTGTCTTTTTAGCTATAAATAAGCAGGGTAAGCTACATCATGGGAATGCAACTCATGTAGTTACACAGAAACAAGATTGACTGGAACTAAGTAGGCTGCATTGTGAAAGAGTGTCACTAGGTCCCCCACCTATGGCATCATCAGGAGTTGCCCCATAAATTTCATGTTTTGGTGTGCCCGGGATTTGACTTAGAGTGCAAACAGGTACAGTGAACATCACCGTCTCATTCTGTAGATAAACTGCAAATTGAGGGCTCACACAGCCCCAATTTGCTTCAAGGGAGAAAGAGTCGACCCTTTCAGCCGCCACTCAGTTGTACTATTTAAAATCTGGCTCCCTGTTTTGTTGCTAGCATCTTTAAGGAAAACATACCCCAGGTATCTCTTGGCACTTGCCTGAGAACTGCCCCGTCTCTTGCGGTGGAGCTTCAATGGCATCCACAAGTGCACATACGGCTGAGCTGGCCCATGCTCAAAGCTGCAATCAATAGAGGTCATGGAGTTCAGCAATGCCGGCTGAGTCTCCAAACTGGTAATGGGAAATGCAGGTCACACCATGTGCTGGTGGCTCCATGTGGCCTTCCCAGGCTGTATGCTGTGCATCCCCATGCTAGAAGTAAGTTTGAGAGCTTGTGTAGCATACTAACTAAAAAGGGTTAGATAGCAAGGCCCTGGTTCAAGTGTCACTAGCAATGCTCCCTCTAAGCTGTGGAATCTTGTGAGCAAAAATTCTACTTTGTGAGCTACTGGCATTAAAGTTGTGAGCGAGCAATCTGGCTGCTGCATACATTAGTTTGCTCTGGAGCCAGCCTTCCCGAACTAAGACAAAAATGTGTGAGCTGGAGGCTAAAAAACTGTGAGCTAGCTCACACTAACTCAGCTTAGAGGGAACACTGGTCACCAGGTAATACTAGAAAAGACACTGTTTGCTGCTCCACTCACAATGCAAGGCAATACTGACCAGGGCTGTCAAATTATTAAGACTGGGGAGCCAGGGCAAATAAGGTGCCCCAGTGGCATCCATGGAAGCGTTAAATAAATTCTGTTAAAATGGAGTGGACAGCCACAGTATATCATGCACAGTTCCTGAGATATGTTAAAATTGCAATGCAATCCTATGAAAAGTTACTCTACATCAAGCCCAATGAAACCAGCAAGCTTAGACTGGAGTAACTCTGCATAGGATTGCCATACCAGTAATGTAAGAGGCATCAATCTTCTATTGTCTTTAAAATTTTACAAATATAATTCCAATAAAAATGATTTCAACATAAAACTTATTTATATGAACATTCAAACCACATTTTATTCATTGCTTTTTCTAATCAAATCTTTTAGATCAAGTATTTTGTGGAATATAAAACACCAATATGAAACGCATCGATTTATAATTTTGTTTACTACTTAGTCAAAATAAATATGCCAAATCAGATCACACTCTGTTTAGGGCAATATATGACTTTCCAATTCATATTTTGGGGGAAGCCACTATACTGCATGCATACAGAAAACTGAATGTCAGGGGAAAGGTTTCTGGCCTAGTTTTTTTCCTGACATTGGATATTTTCCAAATGAGGGACTATTCCGTCACAAGAGCCCCACCTGCCACCTAACATGTTACAGACCAGGAACAAGTTTAATTGTGGCCTCACTGTGAGGCAACTTCATACTGATTGTAAAGTATTTTTAATAGTTGGAATATGCTAGACAAATGCATAAAATAATAATAAGAGGAGGATCAAAAAATACCAAGACCTACGAACAGAGTTAGAGCACCACTGGGAGGAAAAAAGTTACCATTGTGCCAGTTGTCACTGGAGCCCTTACAGCAGTGCTTAGAAGTCTCAAGAAACACCAGGATATTCTGGGCATTGAGCAAATAACACCAGCTCACTTCCAGAAGAGTTTTGTTAATCAGGTTCCTATGAATTTTAATAGAATACTTCTGGCCAGTTAGGTGCAGCACACATGAAAACATCTCAGGGACTCCACTTATATTCATCTATTTGAATTTTTAACTCCCAGTAGGCTGAAATCTTTTTTTTTTTAAATGGAAAACCTAGCACTGTTATTGCCTCCTTTGACTGGCAGCAACTCTCCCTCACCTTTGGACAAGAAAGATCTTTCCTCACTCTGACTACCCAGGATCCTTCAACTGGAGCTATAAGGAACTGGATCTGGGACCTTGAGCATGCAAAACATGCCCTCTGTCAATGACTCACAGCCTCTTGGTGAGATAGGCTGCAAGAGAGGCCATTACAAAAGACCATTCCATCACTAGGTGTGTTACAAGCCGGCACATGGGGCAATATTTGATTGATACCAAAATGCAAACCTTTCAAGCAGTCTTGGTAGGTGCCGTTTCTCAGGAGAGAAGAAAGCATCATCTGAAAATTCCTATAACCACAACCCCAGCCTTTATCTTCTAAAGAACAATAGTAGTGATCCACTCCCATAGAAAGCCAGACTCGCTTTATGTCTTTAGATTCACTTCGATAGTAATGGCTGAGCACTTCAGTAATGCCTGATTAAAAACACAAAAGGGGGTGGGGAAGAGACAGGTACTGATAACAGGTAAATTTGTTTACTATACTGTATGTGTTGTTCTAGTCAAAGTAGATATACACAGAATAAAATCCAGTTTCTTTTCTCCCACAGTGGTAATAAAAACGTAAACCAATAAATAAATAGGACTTCCAAATGATAGGAGATGCAATGTTCCCACAGTTTGCATTTGCGAAATTAGTGCATAAATACGATTTGTAAATAGTATTGAAACCAGCACAAATAAACACTAAAGCCACATTAAAGATAAAGGTAAAGGTTTCCCTTGCTTGAAAGCTAGTCGAATCCGACTCTAGAGGGCGGTGCTCATCTCTGTTTCCAAACCAAAGAGCCAGCACTATCCAAAGACGTTTCCGTTGTCATGTGGCTGGCATGACTAACCGCCAAGGCGCACGGAATGCTGTTACCTTCCCACCAAAGCAGTACCTATTTATCTACTTGCAATTTCTTGCTTTTGAACTGCTAGGTTGACAGGAGCTGGGGCCAGAGACAGGCGCTCACTCTGTCACACGGCACTAGGGTCTTGAACTACCAAGCTACAGATCTTCCAGTCTGCAGATCAGTGTCTTAACCTCTAAGCCACTGTGGCCCCTTTACATCTGTTACATTTTACATTAGCAGATGTTACCAACAACAAAGAAAATTCCAGACACCATGGTACTGTGGAACTCTGCAAAGCTCATGGAATCAGCGTGGCCTAATTGGATAATAGACAGGCTTTGAATCTTTCCTTCAGCCATGGTTGATTGTGAACAAGATAGACTGTAATATATTTTGGACACCAGAGTGCAATAAGTGACACCATAACCTTTTATTTACTGCATATAATGGACTTTTAAGAGCAATCTCTCTCATTCAGACTTGAAAGCAATACAGCATATTTGGAAGTAAGTTTCAGTAAGATCAGTAGCACTTGTTTCTGAGTAAATGCATTGGAAACTATATTAGACAGACTGCAAACATAATAGATTGATTACAGAAACCATAAATCAGGACTTCTACAAAGGGCTTCAAATAAGGTGTGGGCTTTAAGCTCCATAAGTATATACAAGTAAGAGTGATAAAATGTCAGCAAAAGACCCTCTACTTGAAGCCAATAGCTAATGTGTAATAATACAATGTCAATTTATTTAGGAAACAGCAAAGTCCCAAAAAAAACCAACAAAAAAAAACACATCTGAGCAAATATCCATCCTGGGCTTCAGAACCTGAATCACACAGTTTTGTACAGCTAATCAAACAGTTCACTCACTTCAGGAAACAATCAAGTTATTATCACTGAGACTTAGCATTACACATTAAGAAATCATGAATACATTAATAAATGAGCCTGTCAGATATTACACAGGGAGATCCAATAAAGTGCAAAACCCTCTTATGATACTTAACATGGATCACAAAATATATGCCAGACAGCTGAAGTCCATATTTCCTATTACTATTCACTGAACCAAAACTCTTGCCTGGAAAACTAAATTGCACATATCTTGAGGTTAAATGGTACAAGTATGCTAGAATACCTAAAAACTCTGATGGGTGTCTGATCTCCGGGCTGACAAATTGTCACAAAATCTGGAAGAACCACACTCAGTGTACTTTAGCAGTACTACAAGTAACAAGGATTATAAGAATCACATGCCTATACCAGATCTTGAGGTCCATACAATTTTTATTTCTGTTTTGGCAGATCAGAGAAAGAGACATTTTTCTACCGTATCCATACATATCCCAGAACAAGACAACTCCTAATCAGCAGTGGCTGTTAAGGATGACTCCTAGTTACTTTAAATCAGGCTTCTGAGGAAGCTCACTTTCTCTGCACTACTGACCTGAAGTCCGTGTCTTTAAATCATCAATGCCAAAAGCCAAAGATTCCATCATGTCAGCTTTTCTCTTATGATACTCAGAAGGCTTCATTCTTCCCCGAGCTACTTCCTTTTCCATGTTCTTCAATGACTGCTGCTTGTACCCACCAGAACCATCCACGCCATATTGTCTCTGGTAAGGATAAATTACAATAGTTTGTATGAATATTGAACAAACAAAATACATAATTTAACAGGCACACTGTATCAGTTATTGGCATTAGCAAGTACCACTTCATTTAATAATTCATTGTAAAACTAAGCCCTTATTTTTCTATACAGATTCTGTTCAACTAAAAGTTATACAAATATTTCAAAGTGAGAGAGGAAAAAAATGGTAAAGTTAAGCATTCATATTCAGTCTCTCTGTTGGTAGGAACTGCCATTTGTCCATCACAACAAATATCAATAGTTATCTGTGCCTAGCCTAGCATATCAAAATGACCCACATTATATTTCTGAACACGACAGACATTTTGGAACTTCTGTTATTATATGGATTTATTACTAGAATCTTAATAATTTTTCTATAGTAAACAAAGATCCCTGTATAATACCACCATGTAATATTTTACATTACAATGGAGGCTGACCTGTTTCTGATTTCACCTTAGATTGATATAACTTGCAGCCAACTTCCAGTTACTGAAAACTAGCTTGATAGGATATTGTGGAACACGGAAACTCTGTTAACTTCTGCTCAAAGAATAAAGATGAGTTAATATTCACCATTTTTAAAAGAGAATTCTATATGTAACATCTGTCTTCCTGTCCTATTTGAAACTTCTTTATGCATACCTGTAGGACAGTCCTTTCATAAGGTGGAGATTATGGGAAGCTGTAAGTAGAGGCAGTCAAAAGGCCCAAAACCAAGAGTACAGGCCGGCCAGCCCAGTATGCTGTCTGGAGATAGCTCTGGACTGGGGGGTGCCTCCTCTGCTCACGCTGCCAAAGACTTACCTAGGCACGTTCTTTCCAGTGCCCTGAGGGGAGGGAAAAGGTTGAAACAGCTGAGGGGAGCCTCACTCAACAAGGCCAGCAGCAAGACTGCTGGGGCAGGCCCAGTCTGGCAGGGGTGGGCATGATGCCATGGGGTCAGGCTCCAGTGGGGGACAGTTCAGGCAGAAGGGCAAGCTTGCTGAAAGCAATGGGAGGACAGGCTCACAGCAGGGTAAGAAGGGCCCAGAGACCCAGTAGCCCTCTGGCTATCCAGCCTGGTTGTGGAAAGGAGTCAGAGAAGGGCAGGGCAAGGACCAGGTGTTGGCAAGGGAAAGGGATAATGAAGGCCACTGGTCTCTTAGGCCAGAACCTGCCCTGGGATTGGGTGCCAGTTGGGAAGGAGACAGCAGAGGTTAAAAGGGAGACTCCTGATAATGGACTGGGAGGAGATGGAGGCTCAGCTCAAGGCTGTGATAGCTGCTGCCTGTGGAAGAGAGCAATAAGGTGAAAGAACTCCCGCTGCTTCTAATTGAAGCCTAGGGAGGATACAGGGCTCGTGGCAAGATGGCAGAGAGGTGACCGGGTGAGACTGGGCAGGAAGAATGCCACACATCAGGCAAAACTGACAACCTTTTATTATGAGGATAACTCACTGTTTGCTGACAGGACTGTAACAAAGATAAATGAACCAATCAAAACACAGTTATTTTATTCAAGTACATAAGTTTGGGGGGCTGCAAGGAATCATGGAAAAGAAGAATAATCCCACCCCTCCAGAGGGTCTTCATAAACTTTCAAGCAAGCCAATCTCACCCTCACTGCATTTTCTCTGACTGACACTTAACTTTTAGGTGCTTTTTGAAACATTTTCAGTCTCCATCAGGCTTACATGAGGGTATTTGTTCTTAACTTACCAAGTCATATTTTGCATACCTGGGGAGCACCTAAAGAGGAAAATATCCTCTCATGTCTGTGGGATGGCATGGTTTGTGGCTTTTACCAACTGCATGGGAACTATCATATTAAGTGCTATACACTGTAAGGGTGAAAAGAGGAGGTTTCAACTGAGAAGAAAATCCAATTGGAGCTATGAGGAGGACTGAGTATCTTTTAGAGGCCTTATAGTGAGCAATTTGGCTACTGCATAAATTAGTTTGCTCTGGAGCCGTCCTTCCTGAGCAAAGACAACAATGTGTGAGCCAAAGGCTAAAACACTGTGAGCTAGCTCACACTAACTCAACTTAGAGGGAACACTAGATGTTACACAGATGTCAAATATTCATGTATTTAGAGAATATGAAGAAATTTTCAGAGAAGAGGTTTCTGAAATAAATTCATTAACTCTCTATTAAGAAGTGATTTAACAACAACAATGAAACAAATAAGCCATCTCCCCTGTAATATTGTGGCTTACTGTCAATACAATCCTTTGCAGAGTTACTCCAGTGTTAGCTCTCTGAAATCAAAGGGTTTAGACTGGGGTAACTCTGCATCCTAATTAGAGAGATGCACCCTTTGCTCCACCGACTGCTACCAAGAGCTTAATAACCATCTGATAGAACTGTGCAAACACAAGTAGTGTACTGCACATTTATAAAGCAGCATGACCTCTCAACTTCTCTGAAGACAGTACTAAAGTAAAACGCCATAGCAAATAAGGCATCTAATACAGGAGTATCAAACAGATGGCCCATAGGCCACATGCGGCCCCTGGAAGGCCACAATCCGGCCTGAGAGCAACTGACTCTGTGCTGTTTCCTGCTTCTAACATCGCAGCTCCTTTCCCCCAGTCTCTCCTATTTCCTGCTTTGCTCTGGGGAGGGAGGGGGAAGGAAAGAGACGGAGAGAGGGGGGGAAATGGCATCTTGTGGGACTTTTAAGAAGACCAGCAAAGGTTTTGTGTGCACATACCTTTCTTTGTCAGAGACAGACAGACAGACAGACAGACAGACAGAGAGACCAAAAACGTTTTATTCCAGATATAGGGTTTTGTGGGTAAGCACGAGCTTTCATGAATCATTGCTCACTTCTTCAGATACAGCTGGAATGTGAGTCCATCTGTCCTTATATCTTGGAAAGTGATTTCAGACGCCAAATGACAATAGCAGGCATTGGTAATGAGAAAAGAAACCTAGGTCTCAATTCAGTCCAGTAGTCTGCATTGTCTTGAGCTTCATGATCAGTTGCAATTCAGCACTCTCTTTTTCTAATCTCCCTTAGAAATTCTTTTGTAAGAGAACTGCTATTCTTAGGTCAGCAAATGAATGCTCTGGATTCTTGGAAGGTTAAAATGTTCCCCCGTTGGTTTTTGCATGTTGTGGTTTCTAATCTCCCTTAGAAATTCTTTTGTAAGAGAACTGCTATTCTTAGGTCAGCAAATGAATGCTCTGGATTCTTGGAAGGTTAAAATGTTCCCCCGTTGGTTTTTGCATGTTGTGGTTTCTAATAGTATAGAAAAAGAGTCCAGTTGTACCTTTAAAGACTAACAAAATTGTGGCAGGGTATGTGCTTTTGTGAGTCACTGCTCAGTTCTTCAGACTTATTTCCATTTATTCTTTGCCTCTTCCTGGACTGAATCCTCCTTTACCAACTTGAGACCTAGGTTTCCTGTCTCATTACCAATGCTGATCTCTCCAAGCCTCTGTATATCACACCAATGCTGACATTTCCACCCGTCTGCATATCACACCTAATCCAATCATGCCTGCTATTGCCATCCGGCATCTGAAGTCATCTTTATAAACTTTATATCTCCAGTACCTTGTGTTACATTTCATGGCACACATGGCCCGGCCCGACACAGTGACATTTATGTCAGATCTGGCCCTCGTAACAAATGAATTCAACACCCCTGATCTAATACATCTAGCAGTTAGACCAATGTGATCATACTTGCAGCTTCTGAAAATCTTCTCTCTCTCGTCTTGAAGCTTCTCTTCGCTGCCTCACTTCCTCATTCTGGATATGCTGAGCCAATTCTAGATCATGCAAGTTTCTTCCTATAATATACAACAAAAGATGGTTCCAATAAATAAAGTTTCACTTAATTGGTCTGCAGTAGGGATGGCAAGTGACCACCTACTGTTTGACCACAATCAAAATATTCTAAGAATACCAGTTAGTGGGTATCTGAGTACTTGAAATGTTGTTACAGCAAAATTTCTAGTAATAAAAATGGTCTAATAACTTCTGTTATTTTATTTCCATGTTAATTTCATTAGTAAAATATTCTAACGGCAGGCTGACCCCAGTGTACCAGCCAAAGAGGAGTTATACAATGAGTAATTCAAATCTATACAAACTTTACTTAACAATGTTAAAAGTTACAATAATTATTTTAAAAGGTAACTGGTAATGAAAGTATTAGCTTTTTTGTAACTAGCATGTTGATATTAATCACTGTATGGGGCAGCAAAAGGAATGCTTTAAAAATATTTAACTGGTCAACCAACTAAATATTTTTGACAAGCTGGATGCCCAATTATCTGTTACAATATGCTATATTTTATAACAGAAATTCTATTAGATTTCAGAAAGCTGAGAATGTATGACAATGCAGATTAGAGATTTTCAAGAATCATATTACATTAATATATCTATGACATTTTCAAAAATTTTCCTAGAAGGAAAGGGCTACACAAGATTATCTTGGTGCTGCTGGTGGATTCCCCCCCCAGCTTCAACGGTTTTATGAGCCGGCCTTGGCTGGGAGGGCAGGGTATAAATTTGATAATAAATAAATAAAATATGTTAACGGAACAATCAAAGTTTACATTAGGGGATTTCATTTTTCCACAATATGTAAATAAAATCAAGAAGAATGACAGAATATTTTAAATCGTCATTAAATCCTGAATGTCAGAATGTTTTAAATAAAAAAAACAACAAAGTACCTTTCATATTTTGGATTCTTCCCCCTTACCTTCTAAAAAACTGGATTCCTCCAAGTGTAATTCAACATGTTCTTGTAGAACTGGATAGTCAGTACAAACAAGGTGACACATTGGACATTCATACATCTCTTGATCATTTTCTGAGGGAAAGGGGGGATCAGATTAAGTGAACAACTAGTCAGATTACCATTTGTTAACAGTTTTTTTTAAAGATCAGCTGTCATATCCCCTGCTCAGAGGGGAAAAAGGGGATCCCAACATCAAATTAAGTGGGATTTTGTTTCCAGTAAAGATGGATAGGAAATTGGTACCAGAGTCCACAATCCTATGTACATTTATCTAGAAGTAAGCCATAGTAAACAGTGTTGGGCTTCCTTCCAATTGAACACCAAGCTACTGGGCTGCCCTGCATTGGAAGCAGGGGTTCAGGGTGAGAGGACACCACCACTAGGAGGAGGCTCGGTTTGCACATGCAGATTGCCTGCAGCAGCATCCAGAAGCTGCGCACGGCCTTGCGTGTGCGAAAGAACCACCGCAGAAGAAACGCAACAGAATGTTCATATCGACGCAAAAGGCAAAGCTCTGTCCAATGGGAGTAGCATATTTGAGTTGCCAGCTACGGACCGCGGAGGAATCAAGGGACGTTTTGGATAGTGACTCACCTCGAGCGGGAGGTTGGGCGCCCGCGGAGGAACTCCTCTGGCTGTACATCGGCTTCCTTCACACCGTCGCGGACACTTCCACGTCTCCGGACCGCCCAAGAAAAGCACTCGCGGGAACCGAGGTTTGACGAGTCGAGTCCGCTGCCACACCCAGAGATAAGGGATTAAAAATCCAACCGCAGTAGAAGCGGAGCTGCTCGGAATTAAAGGAGGGGAATCGACCACCCTTGATTGACCGCTTGCCTGTACAGAAACTGGCGCATGCGCCGTCTCTCCGTTCGCGTGAACCCTAATACACGAAAACAAAACCCAAGCACACCCACCCGTTTCCTGAAGGGCCGCTTCACTTGGTTTTGTTTCTGTTCCGTTCAAAACGGAGCCTAGTGCGCGTGCGCCAGGCACGCCGCATCCTCTCCGTGCTTCACAATAGGCCTCGGTATGAGTTATTGGTTAAATTCAGGCTCCTTTGCCTTTTCACGGCCCCGCAAACGTCAACCTTGGCTTTAAATTGAACTGGGGACTGGGGTCTACGCTGGCATCTGTCTTCAACGCCAGACATTCAAGCCCTGGAAGGTCAGAATAGAGAAAATTGCCCCTGGGAAAGTGCTCAGTGCATTCCACTGGCCGCTAGCGCGTACCGGAAATCGGTCATATCGGGGATGAAGCGTTTAAAAACAAATTAGAGCGAGGATAACAGCGGAATCCTAAAACAACAATTTAGGGTTGCACTGTGAGGGCTGTTCCACACTGGGGCTATTTTCTGCAATGAAATCGTTCCATCATTACTTGCATTGCATCCATGGGTCATTTGTAGAAAAAGAGGTGCAGGAGCTCATTAGCATAACTTATTTGGATATGCCACGCCCCCTGACGTCACCGGAAGTGTACCGGAAGGCAACATCCACGCTCAGTTTCCACTGGACTGTTTTGGATTGCTAGCTATAGAGGGGGGGGGGGCGTGCAGATTTGTCCTGGAAGAGGAGGGAGAGCTTGTACCTGAATAAAGCTTGGTCTTAAAGGTGCCACTGGACTGTTTTGGACGGGGGGGGGGGTCTGCAACTTACCTGCTTGCTCTGACTGAGAGCTGCAGGGGACAGGGCTTGTTGCATGTGCCCGCCCCCTGGTACTGCAGGAAATGACCCCTGCCTGCATCTAGTTAGAACAGGATCCACTCATCGGTGGATATCGAACTAGTTCACCTCCTGGGAAGTTTGTTATGTTACCTGAATCTGCTTCCTGATGTTGGCAGAGGTGAACTTTCTCATTCCCCCCACCTTTGAGCTACTTGGGACTTTTACTACTCCACTGCAGAATTTTCTCATTTTCCTCACACATCCTCCATGTGCTGTCAGGCCACATCTGGGCCTGTGCCCCACCAAACAGTACATACGATTAGCACCTGATTGTGGAAATGGAAGCATTGTGAAATGCTGAAATCGTGGAAATATTATACTAATAATTATTTTTAACTGGCAATCATAGCAGACGGGTCAGAGGCTAACAACCAAAACTATTTTCTGAGATGCCAAAACACATTATCCTGAGAATATGGGGAAACAGTAGCACGGACTGTCCACAAACTCCAGAAATTGTACTTGTGTTCAACACAAAAGCAACAATAAAAGACCATTATGGGGAAATCAGGAGAACAGCAGATTGTTAACATTGCTGTCTGGACCACTATAAAGTGTACAACTGGGAACCCACTATTTCCTCTTTCCTGAAAGCCTCCATAGTATATCTCCTCTTTTCCTGTTTCCTTCTCTCCTAGGATTGTCAACCTCTGGATGGGGTCTGGAGATCTCCTGAAATCACAACAGATCTCCCAGCTACCAAGATCAGTTCCCTTTAGGGTTGCCAGATTAAGGTTGGGAAATCCCAGTTTGGTGTAGTGGTTATGAGCGCGGACTCTAATCTGGGAGAACCAGGTTTGATTCCCCACTCCTTCACATGCAGCTGCTGTGGTGTGACCTTGGGGCAATTATAAATTCTTTCAGAGCTGTTCTCTCAAGACCAGTTCTCAAAAGTTCTCTCTCAGCGCCACCTATCTAACAGGGTGTCTGGGGGTGGGGAGGGGAGATTGTAAACTGCTCTGAGACTCCTTCAAGTAGTGAAAGGCAGAGTATAAATCCAATATTTTCTTCTTCCCTGGAGATTTGGGGGTGGAGCTTTGGGAAGGAAAGCAATCTTAGCAGGGTAAAATGCCATAAAGCCCACTCTCCAAAGCAGCCATTTTCTCTAGGGGAACTGATCTCTGGCATCTGGAGAGCAGCTGTAATTCTGGGTGTTAATTTCCAGTCCCCACCTGGAGGCTGGCAACCCTATTTCCCCTGGAAGAAATGCTGCTTTGGAGGGTGAAGTCTATGGCATTATACTTCTCTGAGGTCCCTCTCCTCCTCAACCCACCCTCCCCAGCCCCTCTTCCCCAATTTCCTAACTGCTCTCCCTCCTCTTGGCAATCCCCGTACCCTCTCCTTGCCTCATTATCTCCTCCTCAGCCATTCACCAACCTACCTTTTATCTGCCTCCCATCTTCAGCTATATTTATTCTTTATTAACTTCACTGATACTCTTACCTTTCTCCACAGCAGGGATGAAAGCAGCTTACATAATTCTCTTCTTTTTATCCATACAACAACTCTGTGAGGTAGGTTAGGCTGAAAGTACGGTATGTGGCTGGTCCAAAATCACCCAGTGAGCTTCCACAGCAAGATGGGATTTGAACCTGGGTCTCAGAAGCCATACTCTGAAGCTCTAACCACTACACCACAGTGGCTTTCATGGGGTGGCTGCTGTTGAACAATAGTAAACAGCCAGACCTAGTTCATTCATAAAGTCGGGTGTTATCAAGTCACCCAGAGTTTGCTTCCAGGCCTAGGGTTGCCACCTCCAGGTGGGATCTGGAAATATCTCAGAATTACAACAGAACTCCAGACAGCAGAGATCTGCCCCCCTGGATAAAATGCCTGCTTTGGAGAGTGGACTCTATGGCATTAGATTCAGCTGTGGCCTCTCCTCTCCCCTCCCCAAACCCTGTCCTCCTCAGACTCTACAGCAAAATCTACAGGAATTTTCCACCCTGGAGCTGGCAACATGAGCCAGGCCTGGCCCCAATGATTTCTCTTGCAGAGGCCAAAATAGGTCTGGAAAGGGCCTTGCCACCTCCCCCTACATTTTTACTCACAAAAATGGAAACCTGTAAAACTGTGGATGTCTAGCAACAGCCACTGAAGGAATCTGTTGCTTAAAGAAAAAGGCCAGGGGTGGCCAACCTGAGGCTCAGGAGCCACAAGCATCTCTTTCACACATATTGTGCAGCTTCTGGTGGGGTAGCTGGGAAAGCAAAGGGGAGGTATGCCTCCCAGATTGGTCTTCCCTTCCTCATTCAGTGTTCCCCTCCCTAGGTAGGTTTGAGGTGGTGGTGGTGGTGGAACAGAGAATGAAAGCAATTTTAACTTTAAATGTGTTGTCAAAGCCCCCCCCCAGCTTGAAGGCCTTGGAGGATGCATTTAAAGTTGTTTTCTCTCTCTCTCTCTCCCCCTATCTAAAGTTAAATGTGTTCTCCAAACCCCACCCTTCCACCACACCAGCTGGCTTGGCTGGGAGAAGGCATTAGTCTCTTTAAATCTGTTCTCCAAGCCAAGCTGGCATGGCAGCAGGGGCAGGGGGCTCTTTCTATCTCCATCTAAAGTTAAATGTATTCTTCAAACTCCACCCCCATTTAAAGTTAAAGGTGTTCTCCAAGACCCTGCCCCATGGCCCCACCCACCAGCTTGGAGAAGGCACTTCTCTTTTTAAATTTTATAAGTTCAATTTAAATAAGTTAAATCCCTTCACCAAGCTGGCCGGCGTGGCAGCGTGGGTTGGAGAACACATTTAAAGTTGCTTTCTTTCCACCTCTCCCTCCCTCCCCATATATTTGCTTTCTTTCCATCTCTCTTGCTCCCTCCCCCCATCTTCTTTCTTTCTTTCTCTCTGTCTTTCTCCTTTCCTTCCTGTCCCTTCCCATCTATTTGCTCTTTCTCCTTCTTTCTTTCCACCTCTTAAATTCTTTCCACCTTTATCTTTCTCCCTTCCATCCTTCCTCCCCCCATCTATTTGCTTTTTCTTTCTCTCTTCCTTCCTCCCCTTCCCTCGACCATTTTTTGCTTTCTTTCCCTCCCTCCCCATCTATATTCTTTCTTTCCACCTTTCTCTTTTTCCTTTTCTTTCCCACTGTCTTCCTCCCTCCCTCCCCACCTATTTGCTTTCTGTTTCTCTCTATTTCTTGCCACCTCTTTCATTCTTTCCACCTCTCTCTCATTCAGACAGATAAATATCTATGGCCCCGTCCACACGGCAGGGAAAAGCCGCCAAAAAGCGTGGCTTTTAAAAGGCGTGCCAAAGTTGACACGGCGCGGCGGGATCCCACGGATCCCCTGGCCGCACCGCCTTTTCTCCCCGGCACGATCGCGCCGGCGCAAGGACACGCCGGCGATCAGACTCCCGGTTTGCGGCGCACCATTGAGATGAACCACCTCGGTAGGTGGTTCCAACTTGATGCGGCTTATCGTGTGGATGGACCAGTTCGGGGACGGAAGCACTATGCTTCCCAGATGTTGTGGTGTGATCACGGCCGTTTGCTCCGCCTCCGAACCGTCCTGCTCCCGGCCCAAATCCCCTCGTGTGAACGGGACCTTAAGCAAACAAATATCATTGGACAAATAAATATCATTATCAATATCTGCTTTTACCACTTTTGTTTTTATTTTTGGCAGCCTTGTTTAATATTAATAAAAAGCAAATTTGCATATTTTCCAATAAAAACATGTAATATTTGTTCATGTCTTGCAGTTCTCAAACATCTGATGTTTATTCTATGTGGCTCTTACGTTAAGCAAGTTTTGCCACCCCCGCTATAGGCACTCCTTTTATCGTTTTCAGATTTTTGAATCACAGGATTTCAGTACCTAAAGTATTTAAGTATCCAAACATATACTGACTTTGCTATTAGAATATAAGATGTGGGGACCCACAATATTTGTGTGGGGAGGAATCCCTCCTCCCATTGCTGGTGATTCCCCTTACAGTTGGGGGGGAGATCTGGGGGGGGCTCCTGAGTCCAGCATTCTTCTCCACTGCTGCTGACTACCAGGCACCCTCTTCTACCATGAGCTGGGGGGGGGATCCCATATCCCCCCTCAGTGCAGTTTGGTGTGGCTCCTGAACTCAGCTTTCTCCTCTGCCACCGGGCTCAGCACAGCTCCCAGGCTACCGCACCTCTGCCACTGGGCCCAGAATGGCTCCTGGGCTGATGTGCTGCCAACATCGGGCACAGCACAGCTCCTGGCCTGCCCTGCTGACACTGGGCTCAGCATGGCCCCAAGGCTGTGCCCAGCATGGCTCCAGGTTACCATGCCACCGATGCCAGGCCCAGTGCAGCTCCCAGGCTGCCGCTGCTGGGCCCAACTGGGCTCTCAGGCTGCACCACTGCCACGGGGCCCAGCAGGTTTTCTGGGCTGTGCCACTGCTAGCAGTGTGCCCCTACTGGCTCCCAAGCTGTGGGGCTGCCACCACCTGGTTCAGGACAGCTCAGGGACTGCAGTAACCACTGAAGGTGCGTTCTCTGTGCAAGCACAGAGATTGCTACTTTACTTTTTGAGGGATTTAAATCCTTTTTTTTTCTTTCCAGATTTTTCTGCACACTTGGGGAGTACTCAAGTGTGTAGAAAAATCTCTTTAGCCCCCACATGGCCCCGATCCACAGATTTAGATATCCGCAGATGGTGGCCATGGGTGGCTAGTAGTATATAGATGGCAGCTAGTGTGATGTAATAGTTAGAATGTCGGTCTAGGATCTAGAAGACTCAGGTCTGATTTTCCAGGTCTGATTTTCCTCTGTTATGGGAAGCTTTTTGGGTGACCTAGGGCCAACTACACACTCTCAACCTAACCTGCCTCACAGGGTTGTTGTGAGGATAAAATGGAGGCAAGGGGAACAATGAGACCCCATTAGGAAGAACCACAGGATATAAATGAAGTAAATAAATGATAACTAGATAGATGGTAATTGCATTTGATTAGTAGAATCACCCTAAGACTTTATTGACTCACACCAAAATTCGCAGATCTACATTGTCCAAAAACAGAAGAAATTATATAATTGTGGCTCCTTTCATATTTTACTTATGAACCTGGCATTTCTCCTTTTTCTCATAATGGTCTGACTTGGTGGCTTTGGTAAGGCTGTTTGCAACCTTCTGGGAAAATGATAATGTGTTATTTTGCTGCAGTTGTGTTTTAATATCAGTGTTCTTTTTGAACTCTGCAGAACCACAGGATCCTATTTGACCCCCCCCCACAATTCCATATAGTAATATTCATTTTCTGTACCAGCTGAGTCTATTTTTCATGACAGACTTCAATGGGATCTTTGCTTTGATGAGAAATTCGGTGGCAGCAGTGCAATTACTTAAGCAGGGGCAGGAAGGGGTCCTGAGCCCCTCAACTCAACTTTTTTTGGGGGAGAGGAATAATTCCAGTTCTCAAATATAATTTAGGAAATAATTCACCTCCAAATAAAAGCTGGAGGGGAGAAATTCCCTTGCATCCATGCTCTTTGTAAGGTACCTCAATTTTTCATAGGACCTCTACTATAACAAGTTCCTACATGTATGGGGAGCAGGCTGTGCCTGTGCATGTCATCCTTCTGTTAAGCCAAACAGGCTCGTTGCCTGGTGTGCCAAATCCCAATAATGAACACAGCCAGTTGAGATTAAAAAAAAAAAGACCAAACTTTTATTGCAACAGAAGGAGACTCTTGGGTAGCATAAAGATCCCAAAGAGTCTGAAGCTGTTGCCTCTACATTCAGTTTTAATACCTTGCTGTGAGCAATCCTCAGCAGGACTCCCCAGGCATGCACAGAGGACATAGGTTTCGCTTTCCTGGAATAACGCTGCCCAGCAGACATACATTTAAAACATATAGTTTCTCCTTGCAAGCATTTTCTATTCTCTTGGTTCTACAGTCTGGGACTGTCCAGTTCCTCAAAACGGTCTGTCAGACATCTGCTTTTACCCAGTTCCCAGATTCTCTTTTCCTTTGCCAGACGCTGGCATCTCTTAGTAAAGTCTCAAGCTGCATGAGAACAAAGTCAAGTGGCACCTTTGAGACCAACGAAGTTTTATTCAAAGTGTAAGCTTTTGTGTACAAAACACACTTCTTCAGACAAAACTGGAATAAAATCTCAAAAGCTAGTTACTGGGAAAAAGAGGGTGGGGGTAAGCCAGTAGGAGAGGCCACTCAGAGCTCAGATGGATATGCAGAGTTGAAATTGGAATGGGTGGGCTGTAGTATCAATGGATGGCAGCAAATTAGCACATAAATCCAAGAGTTAACAAAGAGATGTGAGAGTGAAATTGGAGTCCAGCAGCACCCCTAAATAAAACCAAGCTCAACCTTGTGAGAACAAGCTATATTTTTACCTTCCTAGCTGAGAGCTACTTTCTGACGTTTAATAAAAGTTGTGTTAGGCCAGGGGTGGCCCAACTGTGGCTTGGGAGCCACATGTGGCTCTTTCACACATATTGTATGGCTCCCCCCTCCCATCTAAAATTAAATGTGTTCTCCAAGCCCTACCACAATTTGTCTCTTTAAACCCCTTCTGCAAGACAAGCCAGCATGACAGAGAGGACAAGGAGTTTGGAGAATATATTTAAAGTTTGTGTCTTGCGGCTCTCAAACATCTGACGTTTATTCTATGTGGCTCTTATGTTAAGCAAGTTTGGCCACCCTGTGTTAGACTATTAGCCTTGTTACCTTTAAGATTCGCCTGGAATACAAGCATTGCTGCCTTTCTCATCACTTCCACCAAGTGCCCAGATGTATGACGGGATTTGTATTTTCTTTGGAAACGAAAGTTTTGGGGTAAGCCAGTAGGTACCAAACCCAATGAATACCGAACATATCTCGATACTGTTTATTTCAGTATTTACTCTGTAGCAGATTCTACTGATTTCAGTGAGGACTCTTCACAACATGGATGCTTGAGATATATTTAAGTAAACACATTTGCTATCCCGGAGACAAACCCTAGAATGTCCGTCCCCCCTGCTCCGTGGGTGGGCGAACAAGCGAGAAGAGGAACTGGGACGCCCAGCTTGGCACTATGTCGGCCTGGGCACAGGAAGCAAGGAGCAGCACGGCGAAGATGACCCCCACTATGCCCAGGCGTACAGCATCGCCGTGCTCCTCCACGCTGCACCCGTGCTGACAAGATGACCCCCCCCCCCCGGCTCTACGTGCTCAAACCTGCCAGGAGAATTCGGCCGCAGCCCACCAGCAAAGCGCAACACGGCGGCCGCGCCTTCTTTTCCTCCATCAGGTGAGGCGTATGCGGGGCAAAAGGGAGCAGACAAGGTCCCTTTGCAAAATTCTTTCGGCCTCCTCGCGCGGCCACCAAAAGGCGCAACAAAATCTGGGATACGGGAAACCCCGCCCCCTCCTCGTAGCTGGCAGTCATTTCGTTTTCCTGAGCGCGGGTGGTTATGGGAAAGGATGAGGGGCGGGGTTTCGGCGGGGCGGAGCCGCCATCTTGAATTGTGAATCTGGGTAGTCTGGAAGAGGGAAAGCGGCAGTTGGCGGCCAGGGGCGCCCATCCTTCCCCATGGGTGCGTGGCATGGGTGTGAAATATGTGTGTGTTGATGTTTCTGTCCGTAGGTGCTGGGTGATGAGACTGGCTAGTCCTAGTTGCCCCCCCCCCGGGTGGTCAATTGCATGTAGTGCCGCAATCTTTCTTGCCCTTCCCTCCCACCCAGTCCCTCCACTTAAAAGGAAAGGGAGCTTTCGCCACCTTCTTCCTTCGCACGGCTGTATCGCACAGGCATAAAATAAATAATCTGGCTGCTCACGCCCTTTTGGGGTTCTTCCGTTCGCGTAGAAGAGGTATAGGTTTTCTAAAGGTTGCGGTCCTGTGAGCCTTCTCTTAGGGAATCCACCGAAATCAGTGGGTGTCACCTTCAAGTAAACATACACCTGGTAGGGCTGCAGTGCTTAAATAGCCTAACTTAAACGATTTATTTCTCTTCCGCTAAGGTATTGTCATGTAAACAAAGCCTTCTATTCAAAAGAGGCGGAATCCACAGCTGTTTAGACAGGGATTTGCCTGGCATAATCTTTTTATCTATGCTTTGAGGGTCTCTGACAATGATGGCTTTTCCTTCAGTTTAAGAAAAGTTTCTCCAAGTGTTACACACCCCAGGTCTGTGAGAGAAGAAAAACCTCAAAAGTCTTCTATTATTCTTGGTATCTGTACAGTGAAGGAGTGGTGTATTTAATGGGCAGCCTATAAGGTTTCAATCTTGCTTTCAAAGTCAGCTCATCCTTTTATATAGTGGTTCCCCCCCCTGTGCTTGCACCACTGTTCCATTACTTTTTGTTTCCAAAAGTGATCCTAAGAGATGTATTGGTATGTCACCTTTAATGAGCAGCAGAGACTGGATGAGTGTTGCTCAGTGGTAGTTTGTGCTTTCATATGTACCTCTGCCCTTTGAGAGAGGCCAACTTCTCAGCTGGCCTCTGTTGATCTTTGTGGCTTTAAGGAGACATATTTTTCTTCATTTTGTGAAATTTCACATGCTGATTTGCACCTTTAACTGCACTTTGCTATGCTGAAGAACAGGTTGAAGGGTTTTTTTGGTTTTGTTTGTTGGCAATCCTAATTGGCAACTAGTATCACTGTGTGAACTGGTTCTACTGAAATGCAGTGTGTCAAAAGGTGATGTGAGCTCTGGGGGTATATAAGTGGTACTGTTCGAACACATAAGCCATTGAGGATATGCCACTACAGGTGTGAAGAAAATTCCAGTGTAGATTTTATATTCAAATACCAGTATGGTGAATACAGAAGGTAAAAATTAGCTGAGAGCTGTTTATCAGGGCAATTTTTTTCTTGGAACCTGTGACCTCCACCATTGGCCTTGCTCCCTCTACTTTCAGTAATCTAGGAAGGGAAGCTGTCAGGCCTCTTCAGTCCGTTATATCAAAGGACTTATGGAATACGTTCAAATATCATTTAGTTTCTTCTGTAGCCATCTCTTTATTTTTAAAAGGTTTTGCTTTATGGCTACAGTCTTGTACATACCACAGAGAATAAAGATAAGAAGGGCGAACAGCCTATCACTAATTATTCTTACTTGGAACAAGTCCTAATGAATTCATTTACACTAAGGCTGCTTCCATGTAGCTCTCATTACTGCTGTGAATGCAGAAATAATTACCGTAGCAATGGAATGTCCACATGTCAGTTTTCCTCATACTTTCCATGCTTCAGTCTTTCTGTGGTACAACAACATTATAATGTTTTATTGCAACAATATAAATAGTTTGAGGCTTTGGGGTTTTTTTTAAAGTCTCTAGCCCTTTTTGTTGTGAAGTTATAAAGGGAAATATGCAGATTGCACCTTTCTCGTTATAATTCTGTGATGAAACAGCCTAGAGACTTTAAAAAAATGGGAGCTAGTAGATTGTACAATAAATTGTTATAATTCTATAGTAATCTTATCAATTCCCAACTTCAGGGGGAAAAGCACTCGTGTGTAAGAGTGTGGCTGATGTAGGGGTCGAGGGCAAGTTAAATGGCACTGATGTGGGCAAGATCTGCAAACATCCATAGTTGCACATCTGCATTCAGGTTTGAATACTGTGAAGCAGTATGCCAATAGGGCCATTCAAATGAAAAATAATAGCAGTAAAAGAGAACAAGTACTTCTGGAAATAGAGTAATGGGTGGGCAATCATTTGCTCTTTGCCAAACTAGTTTGTGGTTTTACCAAATTACATTAGTGGTATGTTATATTTTTCCTACCATTGAAGTACAGTTCAGGGAAACCAGGAAAGGAAAGATCAGGTGATGATTAGTGCTGCATATAGTGTGGCATTAAAATCAGGAGTAAAAAGGATATTTGTGAAATAACATAATTACCACATAAGCATGTTGGTAATAGCTGAACTTTCTACATGAATGGAGCTATTGTCTACATAGACATAACAAGATGCAAAATCTCTATTCCTGTATGCGGCCAGAGTGCATATGTTATCTCTAGGTTATTTCCTGGGGTTTTCTACAGATAGAAGACAATGTAGTTTGGATTTGGTGTAAACTTTTGCCCTTTGTTATAGATACCATGACCAGCCCAGAAAAAGATCACTGCAGAATGAAAAGTTACAAAAACAATGCTCTCAATCCCCAAGAGATGCGGCGGCGTAGAGAAGAGGAAGGTATTCAGCTTCGGAAACAGAAGAGAGAAGAACAAGTATGTCTGCCAATATTACAAGTAGTAACAATGCTGATAAAAGAAAGTATGTTAAAGAGATGATGCAACTTCCGCTTTTGTGATGTACTGTTGTTACAGCCCATCAGACATTTATTTACATGAGGTGGAAATTAACTGAAAAATTGCCCTGCTGGATCAGAGCACACTATCTAGTCCAGCTTCTAGCTGTAACAGTGGCAGCCAAATGCCTTAAAAAACTGTGCTGCCATTGTTCATTTTCTATTGTTTGACACACAGGATCTTAATCAAGTGTGTTGGGTTGAGGGATAAGATAGAACACGTAAAAACTCCAGCCTTTTTAAATTACAGATTTGCCCTGACCATCCCCTTCCATAAAATGTGTGATTTTAAGTTTTGAGAAACACTGGCTACTTCATGGGACAACTGTCATCCTAAACAGGTCTCCTCAGAATCTTATTCAAGTCTATTCAGTGGGGCTTATTCCTAGGGAAGTGCACTTAGGATTGCCCTGTAAATCAGTTCTGATCTACGGTATTAAGTACTGTAGGTCATGCAGCGCTTCAAGCTGAAACACAGGGTGTATTCAGAGCAATAACTTAAGTCATTGTTAAATCAGAAACAGGCTGGAATATCGTGTGCAATCATGCAGCCTCTACCACCTCTGTGAACAAATTGCCCCTTGTCTTTTCTAAGTGGTGTTCAACACTGCAGATGACCCAATCTGATTAAAAGTGCAAGTGGATATGCCGCTAAATTCATATTGAGGTCTGTGATTATAAATTCACTTTCACAGTTAGTTTAAGAGTGTACTCAGCACAGCTTGACAGAGTTTATGTTAAATAGATGATGGGGCTGATCAGATTGGTTTTAAAAGTGAGAAACATTATTGTGGATTTCTAATGAGATGTTACTTGACAGAAATTTTAAACATAAGCCACCCATTTAGAAACAACAACCCTGACAAGTTCAAGTTCAAAACCTTTATTGGCATAGATCATAATCATACAGTCGCCCTGACAAGTTCTTTTACCTTCTTCTCCCCCCATCCTTTAGTTATTCAAACGCAGAAATGTTTCTTTACTGGGAAATGATGAGTCAATGCAAGAAAGTCCTATTCAGGATCCTGATATCAGCTCTACTGTGCCTATACCTGAGGTAGGTAGCGCCAATCCAACTTATATTATAGTAACAAACATGTTTAAAGCAAAAGTGATGTGATTTTTCTTTTCTCTTTTAGGAAGATGTAATTACTTGTGATATGATACAGATGGTTTTCTCAGATGATCCAGACCAACAGCTTGCAGCAACCCAGAGATTTAGAAAACTACTTTCTAAAGGTAAATCAGTGTTTTATTTCCCTTTTTTTTAAAAAAATGGCTGTTGCTCATGTTGCTCCCACCCGTTCAAATTACATGGGGGGGGGGGTAGAGATAGAGTGTTAAATCACAGCTTGTTAAACCTTTTCATCCACAGTTTCATCACATGGGTGGTTGTATTCATTTAGATATAATGGCCAAATACCCAAAAGACACTTTGTGAAAACAATAAAAACAAGCAAGTCTGAATAGCAGTAGCCATACATTTGGCTCTTTGTTACTGCGCCAGTAATCCATCTAATACTGTGTGCTTTGCAGATAGTCCATTAAGCTGCTGACATACGGTGACTTGGAATCCATTGTTTTTATAAAAATTGCTTGAAAGTTGAGAAACAAATGAGTGACTTACTATGGTGGTAATTTATATTTGTGTCTACTGAGTTTAAATTACTGGAGATAAGCAAAAATAACTTCAAAATTAGCTTGGGCAAAGATGTCAGCTAATTGTCATTTTGAGTTCAGTACTGCATGTATCAGCTACAGAGTTCACATCCTTTGAATATGGATGCTGTAAAGCACAAAAAGTATGTGCTAGGCATTGATATTAGTAAATTCCTTTACATGTTATTAAAATTCTATGTGGGATAGCCATAGTTTAAACAGAATGAATATACATGAAATGTATGATCCTTTTGTATCTTATTCTAGGTTTGCAAATGTTCATCAGCAGACTGAAAAACTAAAGCTTTAGATGATTAATTGTGACTGGTTTTAATTTCTGGACTTTTAATTAAAATGCCATCTTGAAAATCTGAAAAGGATACTAATGCTGAGGTTCTTGTAATATTTGATTGACAAATGGGA